TCATGGAGATAATGAATCCCAAGCTATCTTCTTCTCTAGTGCCCTAAAAGTAGAAGGCTTTAGGATTTAGTTCCTAAGCTACTTAATCTTAAACTAGGTGGTCAATGGTTCTATCATGACAAAAAATAGGCTTGATAAGAGATTGTGATTGTAAACAATAGAAAGAAGTTACTAATGATCATGGCCCATGCCATCTTTTGTGTCACTTGGAAGGGTGGGAGGGCTTAAAACCGTCCATGCTTTGTTAAAGGATCCATGTTCAATAGGGTAAATTTTGCATGTCTTTGTGAGAGTTGTATGTTTTTGTACTCAAGCGGCACCATTTTCATGCCTTTTACCACGATTTTTTTTTCTCTAGAAAAAGATGCTAAAAGAGAAGATGTTTAGGGGTCTCTATTTCATTTTTGAATAAGTAAAAAACTTGTTTCCTAAAACCTTACCTCTCATTCTCATATTTTCAATTAAAATCTCATCCCATGTTTAAGAACCTTAAATACTTGCAATAACCTACTCTAGATTTAAGGTATCATTCTATTCTCAAATTTCAATATGCTTAGTGTTACAAACTTTCTACCTTAAAGATGCAGTACACATGCTTTTAGCTGGAACTGTAATATGAAAGACAAGATGGCAAAGCATAAACACCTACTGACAAATAAAAAATGAAATCCATATCATGTATATTTATTTATATATATATATAGAGAGAGAGAGAGGAAATTTAAGTATCTCACACTAAATTTTCTGGCACATCCTTGGGTGCAAAGAATGGAGGCAACAACATCATGACATCTTCCTTATCCAAATCTATAAGCCCACCTTTTCCAACTGTAGATAAGAAAGTCAACTTAAATTTCATACAAGTTCACAATCATAAATTCATTTGCAGATGGTAGAAAGACTGGAATATACAGGTCTCACCAGCAAGTGGCTCATCCATTTCAATCCAACTTCTCTTTTTCCGTAGGGCAATGTCAGCATGAACAGGGATAACATGCTGATAGTCAGCCATTCCTTCAGATATTTGAAAATTATGGAATAGAAACATTTATTTCCTTAATAGAAAAGACAAGTAAAATAGATCTAGAGAGTCTGCAAACAAGTCTAACCATCAAAGTAGTAAGCCTCAGAAACTCTAGCAACAATATCAGCACATATCTTCGTTTGATCTTCATCTCTTAACTCTGCTTCAAGCTCTTTATCACCAGTGACAGAGTCCCGTTCAGGTTCACATGCAAGTTGCTCACTTCCCAAGTTAGTAGGTCCTGCAAAGCGGCGAACTTTGGCACTTTCACTGTCAAAGTACTTTTTTCTAGATATTTTTAATAGAAAACTATGTGAGGGACGAAGCTCCCCAAGAGCAGGATGAGAATATGGGTCTTCTGGGCGGAAGTGGAGCTCCAGTTTGTTTGACTGTGAGGTGCGGACCTGTATGACTAGCAGGAAATAAATTAGAAGCACTAGCAAAGGCAAGCATCTGAACAGCAGAGATTTGGTTATGAATTTAAGGTTGCAGAACTACATGTACTTTCTATCCAAAATTAAAGCAAGCAACGATTAAAAATTTCTTTAATGGGAAAAATAAATCTAATAAAGGCACTAACAACCAATTACATAGACAACAATGACATGATATCTATCCATATATGTATATAATTTATAACCAACTTATCGAAATAAAAACATCAAGAATAGTGTAACATGAAAGAAAAATAGCAAGAAAAATAGGATTAATTATTTCCTGTAAATACCATCATAATTCCTTCAGTTCCTCCTAGGGTTTCAATAGCACGAGATGTTGATGATGGATGCCCTGGATAGTGCACTGCGAACACCTCATTGCATGGTAGGGTACCGGACACCTTCCCTTCTTTTATCACTCCCATTGAGTCTAACTGCACATGCAGAAAGCCACCAATATACTTTTATACAATGCATCTACGTGGAAACATGAATATATATTATAAATAAACATATCATAATACCATGAGTTTTGATAATTGGTACAACGTGGAATCAATTTCGTATTCAATTCAGCAATATACATGTCCCACATATCTCTGTATATGTGAACACACCACCATGTCAATAGAGGTTCTCACTAAGGTATTTTTCTCACTAGATTAAGAAAGATGATAGGAAATCAACTGTCATATTTTTATGGCTTCTATACAATACCTGATGAACTTTACTTTCTTTGTACCATATAATTAGAAAGCAACATCATTTCTTCCTCAAGACTCCCTACTTCCATTCCATATGCACTGTCCTCCTTATCGAGAGCTCCATACAATATTTTGGCATTCAGATAACCTGAATCAGTTAAAAGAGTGCAGCCGATACAGTTCAGCAACTTCACAAGTTATTTTGACAAACGATTTTTAGCAAAACAAATAGGAAAAATATATGGTTTTGGTCGGAAAATGACCACATATTTGATATCAACATTTCATATATGTTTCTACAACTAACATATTAAAGAATATGTCTCTCAAATGAAGATGTCTAACGTATGTTTCTCTAGTAGGAATATAATTTAACCTTAATAACTACAGTATGATTTTGCAGATCCATATCCAAATTTCAGCAGGTATTAATCAAAATAACAAGGTTAAGTAATATTAACCTGTGACTTCAGCTGCTAGAGGCAAAAGGATACAAATATTTCATTGCCAATTTCCAATCGAAGTGACCCTAAAGAGTGGAAATGCTTTCTCTGAGAGACTGCTATTTTTCCATGGCATATAGCTCCAGTAACTTCTCTTTTTAGTTATTCACCCAATTCAAATTCCCAGAATGCAAATCAAGAACAAGGGTGCTTTCAGTTGGTGAATAAAGTTGCCAAAGACTCGGTTGAAATTTTACGACCATCATTAACAAATGCCATAAAGACTGTCATGCTATTTAACTGATAAGCAGTAAACATCAGCTCTATTTCACTAGTAGTAATGCAGGTAATATGTAATATCCAATAGTAAAGGCAAAATCACGCTTAAAACTCGTTGTAAACATACTGATTTCCAATTACAAGATAGTGATTATTAAAAAAAAAGAACCCAAAGGAAAATCATGAACAAAGAAGAAAGTGAGGGACATCTGCTGTTAAATTATAAATTTGAAGTAGCCCAAATGGGTTTGGCTCATGAGATGAGAGAGCAAAACCAGGCGAGTAAATACCCCTCTCCTCTGTTTTCTCTATGTTATTGTTCTTTTTTTTCTCTCTGAAGAGATTTACTTTAATAGGCTGATCAGCCATCTAAGAAAGTCCACATATAATCGATGAGAAGTTGGCAATGAAAGAAAGAGGAAACCGCATATATTGTTAACAATCATAATCGAGTATTCTCAAAGAGAAAAAAAAAAACAAAACAAAAACAAAACAAACAAACAGGCATAATCAAAGACATGTCTGCTTCCTATTTGTACTTCTTATTGTTTCCGTCTGCTTACTGTCTACTGGAATTTATTAAGCACGTATTCTACTCTGTTTATGTTTAGGGAAAGCACCAGGACAGCAATGCCTTTATTTTCTACATCAGCTCCATAATTTTTACCGGCCCAGTACAGATATCTAATAGCATACCCGCCCGTCCACGGGAATGCTGCCACCAGCCACACCACCCGACCCAAACCAAAAAATAAAATCAACAACAGTTGAGAATTATCGTGTAAACAAAACAAACAGACAGTGCCTGAATGAGTGAACCTGGAAAAGCAGAAATACCTGCTCTGGGGCACTAATTCCAGCTCGTCGCGATTTTTAGGTCACCTGAACCAGTCCCCGAATATGCACCGGTGCGATTCTCAAGTCACCTAAACCGGTTCCGGAATACGCAAACGTGCAGGAGTTTGGATATGCACGGGTGTGATTCTCAGGTCGCCTGTGGCTATATGCGCGAAGGATAACACCGAACAGGCGTTTGAGCTGAACGGTTGCTGGTTTCCGGTATGGGCGGGGAACGCAGAACCGTCTGAAAGAGAAGGAGAGAAAAGGAAATTTCTTTTTTTTTTTTTTTAGGATGGAAACAGACGGAAAATTATGTCTCCGTGTGAGACATGGAGGGAAGGGGATGAGAGATGAAATTTGGAAAATAAATTTTTTAATTTAAAACTAATAGTGAAAATATAACATAAATAATTAAAGAATTAAAAAACTTCTATGTTTTATTTTTTTAACTATACATTTATAAGTTTTGTAAAATTTATTTCATAATTAAACATATTCTATACAATAAAATGATATATTAGGTTAATTTTAAATTATTAATCATTCATTGGGGACACATTAATATTTTTTATAATTTATTTAATATTTTTTATAATAATAAAATATTTCACTAAAAATAACAAAGAAATATCACTAATTTTTATATTTTTAAAATCTCGTTAGTATTTATTTACTTATTTATTAATTACTACTTGTTGATCACGTCATGTAAAAAGTAAAAAAATATATATATTATATTAAATGATGCATTATTAACTTATTTATATCATAAAAAATTATTCAACAAATATCATGTAAAGTTTAAAGTTTTTACAAAATTTTTAGTAATTAAAAAGGGAAATGAAAATGCAAAAGAATATAAAATATATTTTTTAAAAGTAAACAATAATTTATATTTTACAAATTACTATACATTTTAACAAAAAAAACAGTAGCTAGAAAAATGTCATTAACATATCATAATTATAAAACTGTTACTATAATTACAATAAGAAAAACAGATACATGTAAAAAAAATAAAGCAAGAACCTTTTATTAATAATTAACTATTTATTTAATTTATAATACGTAATTAGTCAATTTGAAAAATTATTTTTAAATTATAAAAAAATGTTTTTTTTTTTTGGAAAGAAATTCATATTGTTTATGATGTATCGTACATGGCTTGTGGAACGCTGAACTGACAGCTGTTTTCTTCTTTCTCTTCTTTCTGTAGCATTCGAAATCGGCTATTAACAATCTGTGCCGGTAATGTCGACAATATCGTGATTCGTTCGACAATGGAGAAGGGGAGTGGAGAAAAACTCGAGACTGTGAATCTCAAAAACATTCCCGAGCTCAATAAGCTCCAGCAATTGATTAACGCCGATCCTTCTGGTATCCAAAACTCCCTTAGTTCTTGATTTTACGTACTAACTCATTTCATCCTCGATTTCTGCCTCCAATTAATTTTTTCTTTCACAAGAATTTCTTCAAACTCATTGTTAAGGGAGGAGAATCTCGCTAAATAGCCCTCATTGAGAGCAATATCAAAGCAATCTATCAAGTATAAGGACCATATCAGAAATTTAATCGTCCCTAACTTTAATGTACCAATAGCCTCTTTGTTCGGCATTTTGTTTTCATAGAAGAAGAAATATAATAAGCAGAGGAAGAAAGAATGCAAAATAGAAAGGATTAACCATCCTTAAGAAAGAAGAGAGAAAAAATACAGAAGGAAAATGAGAAAGACCAACTGTTATTGCGAGAGAATAAAAAGCTAATCTCTAACAATACAGACAAAGACAACTCCTTAAGAAACCATGAGCTATTTTACTCTTGTATTGCTTTCTTTATTTTGTTTTTTTAGAAAAAAAAAAAAAAAAAACCCCGGAACACAGATTACTTACGTCGTACGCATGCTAATGAACTCATGGCGATGTGTGATTGACCTTAGAAGCCTAAACATGAGAGCAGAGGTTATAGCTTAGCCAGTCAGTGGTAATTGGATTTTCTTTACGTTGAGCTTGAATTACCTTTAACCTACGGTTTTCTTCGCTCTTAGCAGTGACTTTCTTACACTTGTTTGCGACTCCAATTATGGTTTTGTTATTTATGTGACTTACGAGCTTCTGCATTTCCTCTATTCATGCACGAAGTCTTCAACTTTTCAGGTGCCTGGGAAAAGAGGTGGGAGCTGGGAATAACCCCATGGGATTTAGGACAACCAACACCTATCGTTCTTCACCTTCAGCAACATGGGTCTCTTCCCAATGGTAGAGCTCTAATACCTGGATGTGGCACCGTAAGTTGTATTGTCTTAAAAATTAATCATGCCATATAGAGTTAGTAATATTAGTGAATTCATAGATCATTACTTAAGACTTAATGCTTTAAAATAATATCCTGTATGCCTATTACACAAAAGAAAAAAAAAAAAGGGTATCCTGTATGCCACTCAATTTCTACGCAAAAGGTGGAAAATCCAACTCATCAAGGTTCTATCTGATTCTAATAGATTGAGTAGTTCACTTGGTATGGTGGCATTTTTATTTTAGTAAAACAGAGTTTTGGTTACCATTTCATTGAGTTCTGTATTCCACAAAGCAAAAACAGCGGATAACAATCACTTGAGGCAATAATCATGTTCTCTTGGTTACAATTTTCGTCTGTGATTTGTATTTCATCCTCTGTTAGCCATTTAGTTACTTTATTTTGTTGTGTAGTATAAGTTATCAAAACATTTCAGGGATATGATGTGGTGGCAATGGCATCTCTTGAACGTTATGTCGTCGGATTGGACATATCGGAAAATGCCATTAAGAAGGCAAAGGAGGTAACCGCAGTTTTGTGCAAATTACATGACCTACATTGTGGGTTTTATCCTTAAATTTTATTTTATCTTCTCAGAATATTTAATGTTATATCTTACAGTGGTTTCATGGTGACTTAATGTAGAAAATTGAGTACAAAAGAACTCGATGGTAACTTAATGTAAATTTTTGTATGTGGGTAGTAACCATTTGCTGTTGATATCAATATATTCTTTACACTTTGTATTTCAAAAAATAAAAAATAAAAGAACTCAATGATCAATATGGTACGATGATTATAAACTGGGATTGTTGTGCATTTTAGGACTAAGCTTGAATTTTGCTTTAAAACGGTGCTTGGATAAAGGTTACTAATTGAAGTTATAGTTATTCCTCAAATTTTTGTCCCACTTTTTTTCTTATCAGATGTCATTCTCATCACCAAATGCAAACTGTTTTGCCTTCTTAAAGGAAGACTTCTTCACTTGGTGCCCTAGTGAGTTATTTGATCTCATTTTTGACTATACGTAAGTTGTTTCTTTTTCCAAATAAACTATACATAAGTTGTTACTGTTGGGGATTAGTTTTACACATTGAGAAGATCATGTCATTGTCACACGGTGATGAATCTTCAGGTTCTTCTGCGCCATTGAACCGTCAATGAGATCAGCATGGGCAAAGAGAATGCACGAACTTCTAAAACTAGATGGAGAGCTTATAACAATGATATTCCCAGTAGGCATTTTTATCTCTTTCGTTCGGTTATACTGATTGTCAAATTTTAAGTAAAGAAGATTCTTTTGATATTTGATATACTTTTGATTCAACATAATTGACCTAGTTATAAGTTACATGGTGCAAATGATGCACATCAACATTACAACCATTTGTAAAGTCCAATTTATCTCCATAAGCTCTAACTTGGTTAAATTTGATTTTTGAAGTCTGGAAAGGTATTTTCACCCAAGTACTAGTGTTATTGAAAGCTCAAATTGTTTGATTACAGATCACTGACCGTGTTGGTGGACCGCCTTATTCAGTATCAGTAGCTGCGTAATCCTCTACTTATCATTCATTTACATTTACTTCCATGTCCTGTGGCCACAGAAATTCTTTCTGAATTCTTAATTCAGCTGCAATTGCCCTTGAAATTTTGAAAAGTTACATATATATCCATCTGCTATTTTGACAGGATGATCATATTTATTTTCTTTATGCAGCTATGAAGAGGTGTTATGTCCCATTGGCTTTAGGCCAGTGTCTATTGTGGACAATAATCTTGCTACAGCTTCTCGCCAGGTATATGAATAACTATCATTTGAAACTTGCAAAACGAAAAGATATCCCCATATGCACTTGCTACAAATCCTGGAGCATACACAGAAAATATATTTGCTAGGTCAACTTAACCATGATCTTGAACTTTTAGAATGAGAAAAAAAAAAAAAGAAAACGTGTCTGTAACACACACGGTGCAACTAGTGTGCTTACTAATATGTGTCAATGGCTTCATTGCTTGGCTTGACATTGTACAGGGAATAGAAAAGCTGGGAAGGTGGAAGAAGCTCGTAGATAAACCTTCCCTGTAACAGTGATCATCAAAACTTTATGAGGATTGGCTTTCTGAGCTGGAGACGATGACTTCTAATGCATGATTGGTTAATGTGAACAATGCTACTTTATAAAAGTTCATTTTTCATATTTCATGTATTGGTGTGTATAGTTTCAATCGAAAAGAAGAGCAATAAATAAACTATTGTAATTTACACAGTGGTTAAAAGTTTGGTTATAATTTCATCTTTTTTTTGTTATAATTTCATCTTTTTACTAGTTAAAGTCCAGAATTATATATTATTTTTAATTATTTATTTGTGATGGGATTCTTACGTAATATATATCAGATTATTATTTTCTATCTATAAGAAATTAAACTTGGTTGAAGAATATAATTTATATATCAATTATGTAAATTATAATAGTTAACTACATATCAAATAATTAAGATCCATGAAGTAAAATAGAGTTGAATCAATCAAATCATAATATAAAATTCTAGATTGCTGGGAACAAACCCACTACTTTTGTCAGGCAAAAAAATTAAAGTTAGCTTATCTTCACACTATACGAGGAGAAGTGATGCGGCTCAGCTCGAGTAAAATAAAGAATCCAGAATTCATACATATAAAATTCCAGTCTGCTTCGTCAGAAAAATTACGGTGATAAAAAAATATTTAAAAAATAAATGATAATTTAATCAGACATAATATTTTATTTAAATAATTTAATTAACCACAGATGCAGAATATACTTTTAAATTATAAGACACGTTTTTTTTAGGGTAATAATAAATGATTTATAATAAGAATATTTTATTTGAGAATATTTTGCAAATTACTTATAAAAAAAAACAACTCATCGCGCTTATAATATTATATTTTGTTTAGATAATTTAATTCACCACCGGTCCATAATATATTTTTAAATTATAAGAAACGTTTTTTTTAAGGGGTAATAAGAATATTTTACTGTACAATTTTCTAAAAAGACGAATATAAGAAAATGTTAAATTATTTACAAAAAAAAAAAAGAACAACTAATCAGACATAATATTTTATTTAAATAATTTAATTAACCCCAGATGCAGAATATATTTTTAAATTACAAGGCACGTTTTTTTAGGATAATAATAAAAAGAATATTATATTTGAGAATATTTTGCAAATTATTTATAAAAAGACAATTCATCGGACTTATAATATAATATTTGGTTTTGATAATTTAATTCACCACTTGTTCATAATATATTTTTAAATTATAAAAAACGTTTTTTTAAGGGTAATAAGAAATTATTTATAATAAAAATATTTTATTTGAGAACATTTTACAGTTTATTTATAAAAAAAATAACTAATCAGATTTATAATATAATATTTAATTTAAAGAATCTAATCAACCACAAATCAAGATATATTATTAAATTGTAAGAAATGTTTTTTTAAAAGAAATTCATGTTATATATAATGTATCCTGCATGCATTATGGTCGGCAGGGTTCTGTAGTGCCGGAAGCAAGAGTTTGAGATATAACCTTCTTTTCCTCTTTCACTTCGCCTTGTATCATCCAACAATGAGTGGCAGTAATTTCAATAACAACGTGACTGGTGCGACAATGGAGAAGAGTGAAGAAAAACTCGAGCCTTTGAATTTGAAAAGCATGCCCGAGGTCACTAAAGTCCAGCAATTCGTCCACGCCGATTCTTCTGGTATCTAAAACTCTCTTGGTTCTTGGAAATATTTTTTTCTTTAACAGATTGTGTTTACTTGTGTTCTCTGGTTTACTTAGCTTCAAAGAAAACACTACATTGTTTTGCCATTAAGGACAAAGAAATTTCTCATCGCTCTCTCAATTCTCTTCATGAAACTTTATACAGTTAGAGATAGTAAAGAGGAATACTTGAAAGACACGCTTGAATAAGATTGGTCATTTCTTAAAAAGAGTGCCTTTTCAACAACAGAGACGCTTAGTGGTTCTACTCGTCACCAGATCTTAAAAAGAAGTTATGTATAGATTCACTTATTATCTTATAAACACTAGCCACCAAGCTAATGGGCGGATAAAACATCTGATGGAACTATCTTTTTTGGGAGCTGAAGTGACAAAAATAGAACTTATGCTCGTCCCAATCGTACCATTTAAATGAAATTCCACAAATATTTTATTAAGATCCCCTTAATGGCGTCCAAACTTGTCCTGAAGAAACCCATAACAAAACTATTTTACACCAAGAGCCCAGACAAGGATTTTGATCTCTTCTTCACCAAAGGGTCTCTCTAGCCAACTAGCTCTCTCCCCATCAACTGAATACCATCAAGATCCTCCGTAAAAGGGCAGTTGAAATCTCATCCTCATGCAACTGCTTGTAAAATTTGTAATCACAAAACTAATCACATCTATTCTCTTTCAATTCTACCATCCTCAAGTTCCAACTCCTTGATACAATTGGTTCCTCCTCCTATGTACTACCTATAAAAAGAGCAGTATTGGCATCCGCTAAATAACACATTTCGTCCTCGATATCTGCGTCCAGTTAATTTTCTCTTTCACAAGGATTTCTTCAAACTCATTCTTAAAGGAGGACAATCTCCCTAACTAATCCTCATTGAGAGCACTATCCAAACAATCTATCAAGAAGAGGGAGTCATCAAAAATTTAACCTTTCCTGACTTTAATGTACCAAAACCCTCTTTGTTCTGCATTTTGTTTTGCTAGAAGAAGAAATATAACAATCAGGGAGCCGTGTGATTGCCCTAGAAGCCCAAACATGTGAGCAGAGGTTATAGCTTAGCCAGTCAAGTGGTCATTGGATTTCCTTTAGGTTGAGCTGTTATTACCTGTAATCCATGGTTTCGTCGCTCTTAGCTGTGGCTTTCTTACACTTGTTTGCAACTCCAATTGTGGTTTGTTATTTATTTGACTTATGAGTAGGCCTTTGCACATGAGTGATAGCTTCTGCATTGATATTTGGTTTTGATTTGATTCCATTTCCACTATTCGTGCACGAAATCTTCAATTTTTCAGGTGGTTGGGAAAAGAGCTGGGAGCAGGGATTAATCCCATGGGATTTAGGAGAACCAACACCTATTATTCTTCACCTTCAGCAAGGTGGGACTCTTCCCAATGGTAGAGCACTAGTACCTGGGTGTGGCACCGTAAGTATTATGTCTTATAAATTAATCATGCCATATAGAGTTCGTACTATTAGTGAATTCATAGATCATTACTCAAAACTTAATGCCGCAAAACGATATCCTGTAAACCACTCAATTTCGATGCAAAAGGTGGAAAATCCATCCTGTCAAGGTTCTATCTGATTCGAATAGATGAATTAGTTCACTTGGTACGGTGGCATTTTTGTTTTAGCAAAACAGAGTTTGGTTATCATTTCATTAAGTTCTGTATCCCACAAAGGGAAAACAGAGGATATGTTGTACAGTCACTTGAGGCAATAATCACATTCTCTTGGTTACATGTTCTATCTGTCATTTGTATTTCATCCTCTGTTAGCCATTTAGTTACTTTATTTTGCGGTTTGTAGCATAAGTTGTTAAAACGTTTCAGGGATATGATGTGGTGGCAATGGCATCTCCTGAACGCTATGTTGTTGGATTGGACATATCAGAAAATGCCATTAAGAAGGCAGAGGAGGTAACCTGCAGTTTTGTGCAAATTATATTACCTAAATTGTGGGTTGTGTCCTTATATATTGTTTTAGTTGTTCAGGACATTGAATGTTATATTTTACAGTGGTTTCATGGTGACTTCTTGTAGAAATATTTGAGTATGAAAGAACTCAATGGTCAATATGGTAGAATTATTAGAAACTTGGATTGTTGTGCATTTTGGAACTAAGCTTGATTTTTGCCTTACGATGGTGCTTGAATAAGGGTTACTGATTTAAGTTATAGTTCTTCCTCAAAGTTTTGTCCTAATGTTTTCTTTATCGTCAAGTCAGATGTCATCCTCATCACCAAGAGCGAACTGTTTCGCCTTCTTAAAGGAAGACTTTTTCACTTGGTGCCCTAGTGAGCTATTTGATCTCATTTTTGACTACACGTAAGTTGTCATTGCTGGGGATTGGTTTTAGTTCATTGAGAAGATCATGTCATTTATAACATATTGATGAATCTTCAGGTTCTTCTGCGCCATTGAACCATCAATGAGATCAGCATGGGCAAAGAGAATGTACGAACTTCTAAAACCAGATGGAGAACTTATAACGCTGATATTCCCAGTAAGCATCTTTATCTCTTTACATTCTCTCTCATTGGGTCCTTTTAATGATGAACGTCCTTGAAGTTTTGGTAAAGTCCTTTTAATTGCTAATGATGAACGTCAAAATTACAACGATTCGTAAAGTTCTATTTCTATGCAGAAGTTATAACTTGATTAAATGTGACTTTTTTAAGTCTGGAAAGGTATCTTTATCCAAATACTAATCTTATTGAAAGTTCAAATTGTTTGATGACAGATCAGTGACCATGTTGGTGGACCACCTTACAGAGTATCAGTGTCTGAGTAATCCTCTACTTGCCATTCATTTACTTCCATGTCCTGCGGCTATGGAAATTTTTTCTGAATTCTTAATTCTGCTGCAATTGCTCTTGAAATTTTGAAGAGTTAGAGATATATCCATCTGCTGTTTTGACAGGGTAGTCATATTTATTTTCTTTATGCAGCTATGAGGAGGTGTTGCGTCCCGTGGGCTTTAGGCCAGTGTCTATTGTGGATAATCACCTTGCCGAAGGTGTTCGCCAGGTATATGAATAACTGTCATTTTAAACTAGCAAAATAAAAAGATATCCCCGGATGTACTTGCTGTAAGTCTCCTGGAGGATACATGAAGATATATTTTCTAGGTCTACTGAGACTGTAGTTTTAACACAAGGTGCGACTGGTATGCTTAGATTAGTACTTTAAGACATGCTTAGCTGAGTTTGACAACTGAGAAATGAATCCTAAAACTTCTTATCCATGGCTTTTGGATGGTTTTTCCTTTCCAAAATGAGATTTCTGCAAAGTGAGGATATTTTATAGTAATATGTGTCAGTGGCCTCATTACTTGGCTTGACACTGTACAGGGAAGAGAGAAGGTGGGAAGGTGGAAGAAGCTCGTCGGTAAACCTTCTCCATCACAGTGATCATTGGGGACTGGCTTCCTGAGGTGGTGGAGACTATGCATCTCTTAATTTATGATTGGTTAGTGTGGCCAATGCTGCCCCCCATAAAAAGTTTCTCTCTTCATATTTCATGCATTTGCTCTTTGTGGGTTCAACCGAAAAGAAGAGCAACAAATAAGCTTATGGTAATTTCCATAGAGTGGTTGAACTCTGACTATGATTACAACTATGTTTATGGTTTTATAAAATAATAATGTATTCCCTTTGTCTCTTATATAATGTTATAATTCTCTTTGCATCTTTTACACCAGAATCACTATTGATATTATATGGGACTGTTACATAATATATATATATATATAATTATTATTATTTTCTATCTATCAAGAGATTAAACTTGGTTGACAAATATACTTTTCATACAATAAATAAATTATTATTTTTTAATTTTTAGAATGTTCACCCAAATAAGACATCTTATCTCATAAAATTTAAAAATGAGCATAAAATTTCTACAGATTGTGACATTTTTTTTTTCAATTAAATTACTCATTAACATACAAAGATGTCTCTCTTCAGTAATATTTTACACTTTTTTTTCTCTTATTAAACCCACAGAGAGTGACAATAAACAACTTTAAGTCACAGCCAAATATCTCACATATTTTAGGAAATAAAATCTGACTTTAGAACACAAATTTTGAGTAAATCAGTAATAATTTATCCAGAAGTAATTGGTCAATCAAAGACTTCGAACTTAAAATGAACATTTAACTTTCAAAAAAAAATTATTAAATATATTATTAATTGAATGACTGCAAGTTAGTTACAAAAATATAACATAATTCACAAGTAAAAGTTCTTAAAACGTTTAAAACCTAAATTGTTTTGAGGAGTTCATATTAACAACTTTACAATAACTAAGCTTTGAAAACAAAAAATAAATGCATACTCTGTAACGATCCAAAAAATTCAAAGGAAATAGATAATAACTTAAGTGCGGAAACAAAATAAAAAAATAAAGATTTACATTCATTATACAATAACTTAAAAGTACTAAACAGTATTACGGAATTCACCCTTTGAAAGAAAGGCAATAAATAAAAAAATAAACAGAAAAAGAGAAAATATCTAGCATCTACTCGCAGTTTTCTTGCGGATCGGGCTCTGAAATCTGGTCATCTTGATCTGAAATGATTAAATAAGGAATGAACTACACTAGTCCAATAAGGATATCACAGTGTATCACCGACACAGAAATAAATGTGGGTATAAAAATAAAAACAACTAATGGAGCACTGAATTTAGTAAATCTATTTATCAATCATAACACTTATCATAGTGGAATTTATGAAAATAATTTATGCAGACAATAATATCATACGGATCATAATTTCATATAAGATCAGTAACATAGCACATATCATAAATCTATACACATCGTCAAATAACCAAACAATAACTGTCACATTTTCACCAACCTACTAGTATTCATGGGGGTTCATAGGGATGTCCCCGCTATACGTAACTCATTTCCTTTAACAATCTCAATTACGGGCTGTTCGCTTACCCCGTCTAGTATGAGCGCCAAATTATTAAATCTCCATACCTCATCTGATATGATGGTGAAACGGGCCGTCTCCATACCACGTCTGGTAGGGTTCCTTACGTACCTGATTCGTCCACCATCTTCTAAGATATCTAGTAAGGCTGTCGTTCCATCTGTTTATTTAATCACACATTTTTTTCGTTTTCCTTTAATCTCCATTTCTAAATCAAACATAATCACATAAATAAATAAACATGCATCAGGTAATGCAATCATGTCTCAAATCCCAAATCAAACAGTGGTCACGTAAGACAATAATTCATTCATTCAAACTATAAAAATAAATCAATAAAGCACTATCATACTTTTAGACTGTAAAATAAATTAACATAAATCAACATAGAACAACTTTTGGTTCGGGCTCCATTAGAAATCCGTAATTAATTATGTACATTTATTTAATTTGCACAAATACCATATTATTATTAATTTAGACTTCAATTCAATTATAGGGAATAGAGTGAGGGATCCTTACTCGATTTGATACCCGAAAAGGTAAACTGTTCGACTGCGCCTACGGGCAATTCTCGGATTCCTTAAATTTTTCTTCGGGAATTAAAACTCGTTAATAGTACTTACAAATATCCCAAACAAACTCAAAATCAGTCCCGGGGCCCATCTGGCCAATTACAAAATTTCGGCATGGTGGCTTCGTTGTGCTTTGGCGACGACGGTCTGCCTCGGGTCGGCTGTTTTCGGCCGATTCTGCATCAATCCTTGTGAGAAAACACGTTAAATGACGTCAGTTGGCCCCAAAAAAATACAAAAAACCAAAACTCACCGGCGGCGGGGTTCTCTAGTGCGGCGGCTCATCCGGCTCACGTTGCAGTCGGGTGTTTTGCTCTGGTAACCTATAGATAATGACACAGTGATCACAACGGTAGAAAAATTACATAGAACGGGAATCGAGCTTCATCGGAGGTGTTTTGTGAAATTTTCTGCAACGGCACTGCTGGGTTTCGCCGGCGTTTTCTGGCCAATTGGCCAGTCTTTTTACTCTGATTTGGCTATGGGTGTGTTTAAAATTGAATTTCGAGTGAAAATAAATTTTTTTACATTTTTGGCAGTCGGAAAGGGTTCTGGTGCAGCGGCGGTCTCATTCTCGGCGGCCAGGTCTTCTTCTTCTGCGAGGGGTTCTGGCGACTAGGGTTAGGATTTAGTGCGAATGAGAGTTATTTATATCCGTCCGCTTTTGATATGGATCATCAATCGCGTTTGATCTGAACCGTCTGATCGCGATTAAAATAGGGAGTGAATCTGCCCATCAATCGCGATCTAATCTGGATCGTCTGATCGTGTTTGAATCTGGTCGTTCGATCGCGTTTGGGAGGGAGCGCATCCAGGCTGTCCGTGTGCGCGGGAACGGACCTGAACCGTTCGATCGCGGGCACGTGGATTGCTCGTGTGGTACTGCATTAGCGTCCGCTACCACGCGACGCGTCCTGATTCACCGGGCCTGCTGACCGGACATCTGACATGGCAAAACTTTCTAAAATTATGTTTTAACCCCTATTTTCTGATTTTTTTTTTCAAAAATACCTACAGAACCCAACTTTTCACCTATTTTTTTAAAAATTACTTTCAATTAAATTATCCATCAATTTTATTTCATTTTTTTATTTTAAATAAAAAAATTATTTTATTATATTTAGAATAAAATCTTAAATTATAAAAAATAAAAAAATTTCGAGTGTCTCGTACTCTAAGATTAAAATTATTTGAAGAATTCATAAAACAAGATATGAGAGCATGAAGAAAGATTATATTAAATGATGCACTATTAACTTATTTATATAATAAAAAATTGTTCAACAAACATCACGTAGAGTTTGAAGTTTTTACAAAACTTTTAGTTGTTAGAAAATTAAAAAGTTAAACAAAAATTTACATTATACAAGTTATGTAACTAGTGCCATAAGTACAATAAAAAAATTCATACATGTAAAAAATAAAGCAAAGATCTTTTTATTGATGATCAACCATTCATTTTATTTATATAATAACTAGTCATTTTATAATATTTAATTTAAAAATTTTAACTTTAACAAATGTTTATTTTGGTAAGGAAATTCATGTGGCGTATTCATCCATGGCATTGTGGTTGGTAGGGTTCTGGAACGCTGGAAGCTGGAGTTGGAACTGACAAACCGTGCAAGGAAGCCAACATAACCTTCACCAACATTGACTTTCGGCGGGTATGCGAGCTCTTGTTTCTTCTTTCTCTTCGTGCTGTAGCATTCGACGTCTGCTATTAACAATCCGCGGCACTAATTTCAACAACGTCGTGATTCGTGCGACGATGGAGAAGAGGAGTGAAGAAAAACTTGAGACTGTGAATCTCAAAAACATTCCCAACGTCAATAAACTCCAGCAACTGACTAACGCCGATCCTTCTGGTATCTAAGACTCTCTTAGTTCTTGGAAATATTTTATTCTTTAAGAGGTTATGTTTACATGTGTTCTCTGGTTTGTTTTCTCAATGAAAGGGGGAAAAGGAAACTCACGCCAAATTGTATAGAGTTGCTGAATATCATTTATAGCTTTGTAAATTCATTTGATTTTGATTTGTTTGCATCTGTGTTATCTTCTGGTTTGTCTTTGAAGGGTTATTGATTATTATGCTCTAAATGTTTATCATCAATATGATAATCATCTTCAGTAATTCTAGATACTAATTAGCGTCTGCCCTTTTTCCCCAAATTATTAATTGGAATACGTTTGTCGAAAGACTAAAGATTAGACTCATTTTTGTACTTATTTAGTACCGGTATCTTAAGGTTGCATAATGGTGCGCATGGATCATGAGCTTCCGTCTAAGGGCGACCTTGGAGCTGGCTGTGAATCCTTATGGCGTTCATAATTTCCTCTAAATATGCTTCATTAACAAGCAAAATAAAATAGGATAAGAAGAATGCCAGCCTTTTGTGTTTATCATAATTCTGTCACTCTAGGAAATGGAATATCATATATCAGTAAACTCATGCCTGCGCAATTATTTGGCTAGTTTACATATGCCTGCGTAATCTCATTTTGTTTCTTGCTGTTTGCACTCTTTCTGCATTTTTTTTCAAAGAGGTCTATATTATTTTCTGAGAACTGAATGATACAAAATGTTTGATTGAAAGATTTGTATTAGAGTTTTTTTTTATTTGCCATTGAATACTAAATAGCTTTCTCAAGGTTGTTTATTGCCACTAACTCAAGAGTTTTGCCAGGTCTCAGGTTTATTTGGTTATTCTGTCATGAATTTTGACATTGTGATCTTGAATGCTTACTAAGATGGGCCCTCGAGTAACTAGGGTTTATATGATTTAGGAATTTTCAGGTACCAGGTAATGCTTCAAAGGTGGAGCAAGGATTGGTTTTTTGCTTTGTTCTGTTTTATTCTTATCATTTGTTTGGAGGGGCTATGTTTATAACATTTTGTACATGTATAGTTTTTTACTTTCAATTTTATATAATATTTAAATCATGCTGACAACCTCACCACCCACCCTCAAACTGATTAAAGGAAGAAAGAAAACACAAAGATGACAAGTAGCTTTCTAGGGGCTCTTATAAGAAGACAAGCATTGCTTTTGGAGCACTAACCATTAGATGCAAACTGAACTTGTTCTTGATAACCAATGCCACAAACAGTTAGTTCCAAAAAATAATACCACATTACTTTGCAAATAAGGACATGGTTTACTCAAAAGGTTCTTATTGCTTAGAACTCCATCCTTCTTAGGCAAATAAATAATTTCCTATCTAACTAAATAGTCCGTCGTTGACTCGCTTGAACTAGAGCAAAGGAAATTTCTCATCACACTCCCAATTCTCTTCATGACACCTCTAGAAACTTTATACAGTTAGAGATAGTAAAGAGGAATACTAGAAAGACATGCTTGAATAAGATTGGCCCTATCCTCAAAGGGAAAAAAGAGTGCCTTTTCAACACTAGAGACGCTTGATGGTCCTACTCATCACTAGATCTTAAATAGAAGCTATCTACAGATTGGACCAAAAGAAGCATGAGAATGAGTGATTGGCCATCCTAACAGATCACACGTTATAGACTCTTCATAAGATTAATACAGAAACCTGGAATCTCGCAGAACACTTTCAGGATGGTAAGAACATTAAAAAAAATCACAGGGTCATGGGAAAGGAAGTGTCATGAAAAAGCTGCTGATTGAAAACCTCCATTGTATCACATCCACCGCCCACACTAAGGCCCTCTATCAAGCCTCTCTCAATATCACGAGATAAAATACAACTCAGACATTCAAAATCATCGTGAATAGAAACAAGAAAGGGGATCCTATTGTCTTAGGCTTCATTGCCTCCCAAAACCACAATCTGTGCTTCCGTTCACCAAAACATCAAAGGACATTGAAGATAGACACTATGTAATCCAACTCCTTCTATCATCACAATTTTTCCTCACCATGACCTTGTCTAGAGAGCTCCATTTCTCCCGGTCATAGGCCTTCTCAAAATCTAGTTTAGACACCAAACCCTTATTTCTTGATGCCCAATCCTCCTCCACCACCTCATTAGTGATAAGAGAAGTGTAAAAAATTTTCCTTTCTCCAACAAAAGTACTCTGGTGCACAGATAAGTTTTGTCTAACACCAAATCTAATCTCAAAGAAAGTTCTTCACTTGTTATCTTATAAACACCAGTGACCAGCCTAATAGGGTGATAATCACAGACATTTGATGGAACCATCTTTTTTGGGAACCAAAGTGATAAAAGTAAAACCCATGCTCGTGCCAATCTTACCATTTATATGAAATTCCACAAACAATTTAATCAGATCCCCTTAATGACATCCTGTCTGGAAGAAACCCATGACAAAACCATTTGACCTAGGCCACACCAAGAGTCCAAACAACTCCTTTTGTCTCTTCTTCACAAAAGGTCTCTGTAGCCAATTAATTCTCTCCCCATCAATCGAATATCATGAAAACCCTCAATAAAAGCGCAGTTGATAATCTCATCCTCATGCAATTGGTTGTAAAATTTGTGATCACAAAACTAAATACATCTATTCTCTCTCAATTCTACCATCCTCAAGTTCCAACTCCTTGATACAATTGTTTCCTCCTCCTACTATGTACCACCTATAAAAGGAGCAGTATTGGCATCCACCTACTATCTCATTCCACCCTCAATTTCTGCTCCAATTGATTTTCTCTTTCACAAGGATTTCTTCAAACTCATTCTTAAAGGAGGAAATTCTCTCTAATTATTCCTCATTGAGAGCACTATCCAAGCAATCTATCAAGAATATGGACCTCATCAAAAATTTAATCTTTCCTAACTTTAATGTACCAAAAGCCTCTCTGTTCCACACTTTGTTTTGGTAGAAGAAGAAATATAATAATCAAGGGAAGAAAGAATACAAAATAGAGAGGATTAACTATCCTTAGAAAAGAAGAGAAATTAAAAAAAAAAAAGAAAAGAAAAATGAGAAAGATCAATTGATATTGTGAGAGACAACTCCTTAAGAAACCATGAGCTATTTTACTCCTATATTGCTTTCTTTATTTATTAAAAAAAAGAAAAACAAAAATTCAGGAACTCAGGTCATCTACACATATGCGTAGTGAACCATGGAGCTTAGAAGCCTAAACATGCTAGTGGAGGTTATAAGTTAGCCAGTCAGTGGTCATTGGATTTCCTTTAGGTTGAGCTATTGTTACCTGTAATCTATGGTTTTTTTCCGCCTTAGCGGTGACTTTCTTACACTTGTTTGCGACTCCTATTGTGGTTTTGTTATTTATGTGACTTATGAGTAGGCCTTTGCACATGAGTGATAGCTTCTGCATTGATATTTGTTTTGAATTTCTCCATTTCCACTATTCATGCACGAAGTCTTCAACTTTTCAGGTGGTTGGGAAAAGAGCTGGGAGCTGGGATTAACCCCGTGGGATTTAGGACAACCAACACCTGTTGTTCTTCACCTTCAGCAAGGTGGAGCTCTTCCCAATGGTAGAGCTCTGGTACCTGGATGTGGCACTGTAAGTTGTATTGTCTTAAAAATTAATCATGCCATATAGAGCTAGTAATATTAGTGAATTCATAGATCATTACTCAAAACTTAATGCTGTAAAACGGTATCCTGTATGCCACTCACTTTCAATGCCAAAGGTGGAAAATCCAATCTATCAAGGTTCTATCTGATTCTAATAGATGGACTAGTTCACTTGATATGCTGGCATTTTTTTTTAGTAAATCAGAGTTTTGGGTATCATTTCATTGAGTTCTGTATCCCACAAAGCAAAATCAGAGGATATGTTGTACAGTCACTTGAGGCAATAATCAGGCTCTCTTTATTACACTTATCGTCTGTCATTTGTATATCATCCTCTGTTAGCCATTTAGTTACTTTGTTTTGCTGTTTGTAATACAAGTTGTCAAAACATTCCAGGGGTATGATGTGGTGGCAATGGCATCTCCTGAACGCTATGTTGTTGGATTGGACATATCAGAAAATGCCATTAAGAAGGCAAAGGAGGTAACAGCAGTTTTATGCAAATTACATGACCTAGATTGTGGGTTGTGTCCTCATATATTGTTTTAGTTGTTCAGGACATTGAATGTTATATCATACAGTGCTTTCATGGTGACTTGTAGAAAAATTGAGTGGAAAAAAACTCTGATCAATATGGTAGGATGATTAGAAACTGGGATTGTTGTGCATTTTATGACTAAGCTTGAGTTCTGCTTGAAAATGGTGCTTGGATAAAGGTTACTTATTTATGTTATAGTTCTTCCACTCAAATTTTTGTCCTAATATTTTTTTATTATCAAGTTAGATGTCGTCCTCATCACCAAATGCAAACTGTTTTGCCTTCTTAAAGGAAGACTTCTTCACTTGGTGCCCTAGTGAGTTATTTGATCTCATTTTTGACTATACGTAAGTAGTCATTATGGGGGATTGGTTTTAGTCCATTGAGAAGTTCATGTCATTATCACATGGTGATGAATATTCAGATTCTTCTGCGCCATTGAACCATCAATGAGATCAGCATGGGCAAAGAGAATGTGCAAACTTCTAAAACCAGATGGAGAACTTATAACGCTGATGTTCCCAGTAGGCATCTTTATCTCTTCATACTTTCTCGTTATCTCTTTCATTTTGGTTATAGTGATTATCAAATTTCAAGTAGACAAGATTGTTTTGATATTTGATACACCTTTGCTTCAAGATAACTGACTAATTATAAGTTTCATGGTGCAAATGATGAACATCAACATTACAACCATTTGTAAAGTCCTATTTCTATCCAGAAGCTCTAACTTGATTAAATTTGACCTTTTTAAGTCTGGAAGAAATTTTCACCCAAGTACTAGTCTTATTGACAGCTCAAATTGTTTGATGACAGATCAGTGACCATGTTGGTGGACCGCCTTATAGAGTATCAGTAGCTGAGTAATCCTCTTCCTTACCATTTATTTACTTCCATGTCTTGTGCCTATGGAAATTCTTTCTGAATTCTTAGTTCTGCTGCAGTTGCTCTTGAAATTTTGAAGAGCGACCGATATATCCATCTAACTGTTTTGACAGGGTCATCGTATTCTTTATGCAGCTACGAAGAGGTGCTACGTCCCATGGGCTTTAAATCAGTGTCTGTTGTGGATAATGACCTTGCTATAGGTCCTCGCCAGGTATACAGATAACTGTCATTTTAAACTTGCAAAATGAAAAGATATCCCCAAATGTACTTGGTATATGTCCTGGCAGATACATGAAGATATATTTGCTAGGTCAACTGAACCATGATCCTGAACTCTTAGAATGAAAAAAGACTCGTGTCTGTACACACATGGTGCAACTAGTATGCGTAGACTAGTACTTTAAGACATGGTGCGACTGGTATGCTTAGATTAGTACTGTCAGACATGCTTAGCTGAGTTTGACAACTGAGAAATAAATCCTAAACTTTTTTATCCATGGCTTTTGGATGGTTTTTCCTTTCTAAATGAGATTTAATTTGGAGAGTTGCCTCCTTCTAACACTTAAGATCGTGGTTATAAATCAGCTCGAAGTACAGCAGGTACCCGCCATTATATTTTAGAAAAATGACACGGTTGGACCTTGCCCCCTAGAACACAAAAAGAGGCAGTTATTGCATTTCTTCCTTTTTATTTCTGAAGTTATTGTCTCAGTTTCAGGAGAATATTTTATAGTAACATGTGTCAGTGGCTTCATTACTTGGCTTGACCTTGTTACAGGGAAGAGAGAAGCTGGGAAGGTGGAAGTTCGTTGCTAAACCTTCTCTATAACAGTGATCATCAAGAGGACTGGCTTTCTGAGCTGGAGACTATTGGTCAGTGCGACCAATGCTGCGTAATAAAAGTTTCTTTTTTCATTTGATGTTTGTGGGTTAAACGAAAAGAAGAGCAATAAATAAACTATGGTAATTTCCATACAGTGGTTAAAGTTTGGCTATGATTACAACTGAGTTTATTGGGTTTGAAAAATAATAATGTATTCCTTTCATCCTTTTTATTGTTATAATTTTCTTTAAAGAGAAAAGCTATAATATCAAATCATTATTCCTATTTTTGTTTATTTTATTAGTTAAAATCCTAATTCTCTTTGCATCTTTTAAACCAGAATCATTATTGATATTATTTTTTTTATTATTTACTAGTGACGAGACTGTTGCATAATATATATTAGATTATTATTTTTTATCTATCAAGAGATCAAACTTGGTTTACAGATATAATTTGTATGCAATAAATAAATTATTATTTAAAAAAATTGTAGACCTAGTTATATCAAAATTTTTAAGATTTCTATATAATTTATTCAAAGATTATTTTCCAATATGATTTGATATCTTAAAGAAATTTACATAATTATATTTGGAGATTCCTTGATCAAATGAGAACAAAGCATGGGAAAATGTTTGGACCCCCAAATTTAATGGTGTGTGTGTGTGTGTGATTCCTTAAGAGTACCATAGTTCTACCCTAATTTTACCTTTTGACAATAAAGTTACTCAACATCAGGAGGAACTGGAGGAAAAAATTGTTGCTTCATATTCAAGTGAGATTTTAAGAGGATTTACCACAATTGAAAACTCTCCAAATTAGCCATGGAAATGGTAATATATATGACTTGCCTAGATGAGAGAAAATAAACGAAATCATATATCCCCTCAAATTAGAAGGGGGAAAAAAGAGGAGTCGCCTCTTAGAAAATATGGCGGTCCAATCTCTATACAAAAAGATTGAAAATAATCTTTCAAAGTGTTCATGAGCCTTGAACCTTGACCCAAATAGAACATTTTAATCTCATAAAATTTAAAGATGAGCAGAAGAGTTTCTTCAGATTGTAACTTTTCTTTCCAACCAAATTACTCATAAACCAACGAAGATGTCTCCCTTCCATAAAATCTTGCTCTCTTTTCTCTTGTCAAACCCATGAAGAGCAAAGAAATAACATCTAAACATGACAATAAACAACCCAAGCCACACAAATAACTATGAGAATACAATTTATTGTAGTATATTAAAAAAAAATAAACAAAGTGGGTTAATTATATATCAAATATGTAAATTATAACAATTGACTACATATCAAATAATTAAGATCCATGAATAGAATAGAAGTAAAATAGAGTTGAATCAATCACAAGATAGAAATTATCTATGATTCACGACTGGGGTGACAAGGGAATGCTTTTTAATTACAACCTAATATAGCTACGGTATTGGATATGAGTGGAAACTCATCTCACGATAACCAAGGAGGATTTACTACAAGGAACTAGGGGGTTCAAGGATGCCCCAAATCATGCATATAAAACAATTCTGACTGCCAAAAAGAATGTAGCTGAACATACAGAGAAAAGAAAATAGGCATAATAAGTGCAGTTGATAAAGTTTTGTACATGACCTGTGCAGTTCAGCACTTCTTCACAGATACAATAATTTAGTCCTTCGTCATTGAACATATCTCAATATGCAAAATCCTGCAAATAAAGTAGTCACATCATGAAACACAGAGCAATAACCAATGCAATTTTAGATATTTAAGATAAAATTGCTGTGAACAAGCCCACATTTTCTGTTAGGCAAAAAAATTGAAGTTAGCTTACCTTCGCGCTAAACTGAGAAGTGATTCTAGCTCAGATCCAGTGATAAAGAATCCAGAATTTACACAATAAATTCCAGTCTGCATCAGAATAACTAGATTCTTTGAATTAGAGGTCATGAATTTGTTTACACATATGAACTTCAGGGTTTACAAGCCGCAAGAAATGAGTGACTTCATGGGCTTGTTTGCTTGTGCCTGCAGCTAAGTAAAAGCCATATTAGGCCAAATTCCACTGCTAACAGGCATTAAGAACTTTCATTTCTAAACCACCAAGGTCGGAACTTGGTCTTGAGATCCTTTCTTCTGGGACAAAGGTAAAACCAAAACAAATAAAGGTCCCTAACCTCTTGTCTGAGGGACGGATTTGGTTCTCTAACCTTCGAGTTTATGGTGCATATACTTCTTTCCGGTCTCCATCCTGTCGTTTTGTACACCCCTGTCAAGGACTGAGAATCATATGAGTCCTGCATTCTTTCAATTCATCACAGCTTTCCTCAAACTGCCCTGAAAAGCGTTCACCAATAATCCCCACAAGAACAAACTCCATTTTCAAAATGATGAAACCTGTTTGTGTCCCTCACAAATATGCTTCGACCTTCCAACTTTGATATGAATTTTATAACTGCATGACAGTCACCGCATATTCTGAGGTTCTTTATTACTTGAAGAGGAGACCTGGGAGGAGTGTTTAGAAGCCCAAAAACAACAGCTAACTTTTCACTGTGCCCGCACAGTATCTGCTCCTTGTCCTGCTCCTCCACGTCTTGCAATACAAAGTCAACACTTGGAAAGTATCCAGATTTCTTCATCTCCATGCTCAATTCATTTAGCTTCTCAATGATTTGGGTCATTTGTGGATGTGATTTGTCGCCTGCAAGAAGCATGTACATTTTGTTCTTGACCTGAATCCAACTGCAGCCAGGATTCTTCTTCAAACCCTTGCTCTTCATCATATTCCTAACAGTGTCTACTCCAGTCCACATACCCTTAGAAGCATAGATATTGGATAAAAGAACATAGTTCCCCGGATTGCTTGGCTCCAACTCTATGAGTTTCTTTGCAGCAACCTCGCCTAAGTGTACATTATTATGGACTCTACAAGAACTTAGAAGAGCTCCCCAAATGCAGGCATCTGGTTCAAATGGCATTTGCTTAATCATGTTATATGCCTCATCCAGCTTCCCTGCACGCCCTAAAAGGGTTACCATGCAAGCATAGTGCTCCATCCTTGCTTCAATCTCATGATCTCTTGACATGCTATCAAAAAAATGCCATCCTTCATCTGTTAGGCCACCTTGGCTACACGCAGCTAAAACACAAGTGAAGCTAATGAAGTCAGGTTTCAGGCCACTGGTTAGCAATGAATGGAAAAGGTCTATTGCTTCCTTAGCTTTTCCATGCATCGCGTACCCACCCATAATAGCATTCCAACAAACCAAGTTTTTTACGGGCATCTTATCAAAACAAAGTCGAGACATGTGAATTCTTCCGCATTTTGCATACATATCAATTAGCGAACTACCCACGTAAACATTATTTGAAATTTCTGATCTAAGAGAAAAACAATGCACTGCCTTCCCATGAATCAGTGCTGCAATATTTCCACAAGCTGGTAACAAGCAAGGAATCGTTATAGAGTTTGGCTTCACCCCAGCATTCTGCATCTCTCTAAAAAGCTCCAAAGCCTCCATATCCTTCCCATTCTGGGAGCAACCAGCTATCACTGATGTCCAAGATATAACATTTAAGATAACTCCTTGTTCTTTAAATTGTCTAAACAACTCAAGCGCTTTTTCAACAGAGCCATTTCTGGAGAGCCCTGTAATAAGAGCATTACAAGCCCCTGTATCCATCTGATCCATTTCCTTTAAAACTTTTAACATCTCCAGCTCACATCCACACTTTCCATACATATCTATAAGTGCACTAACAACACAAATGTCCTGCTCCAAACCCTGCTTGACCACATAGCCATGAATCTGTATCCCCGTATTCAACTTTTCCAATTCACCTACAGCAGGAAGTACACTAGCAATAGTAGTCCCATCAGGCTTAAATCCTTCTAAATGCATCTTCTGAAACACGAATGCAGCATCATTACAATGCCCGCTACGACTAAACCCCGCAATCAGACCATTCCAAGAAACTAAATTCGGCTCCACACTCAACTTCTCCATCTGAAAGAGAAGCCCAATCGCTTCCTCTACGCAACCCTTGCGCGCATAGCCCGCAAGCAAAGCACTACAACTTACAACATCCTTCAATGGCATTTCATCGAACACCCTGCGGGCATGTTTTACTTGGTCACATTTCAAATACATTAGAACCAAAGAAGATTGAATTACAGAATCAGAACTAAACCCACATACACAAGCAATACCATGAACTATTTTTCCCACTCTCAACGCCGTCGTCGAAGCACAAGCCTTGATCACACTGGGTAGAACGCGAGTATCCGGAGCGAGGCCACGGGAGAGCATTTGAGAAAAGAAACGAAGGGACTCGGAAAAAAGATTGGATTTAGTACATGCGAATATGAGTCTCGAGAAGGAGTAGACATCGGGCACAGATGTGGAGTGAAGGACGAGGTCTGAAAAACAATGGCGATTGGAATAGAGAGGGAAAAGCTTTTTGGAGAAGTGGATATTATTGGAGACGCCGGTTTTGAGGATGCGCGCATGAGCTTGCCTTGCCTGTGACATAGAAGCTGAGGCTGAGAGGAGACAGTGTTCGTCGTGGAACCTTCTATTTGTTCAGACTTGGGACTCGGGAGTATGAGCAGAGGAGAAGCAGTGCCGTCGGCGTTCACTTCAGAACGGGTTTTTTTTGCTTCTAATTGCATAAAAGTCCTTGAAGTTTCGGTATTTATAGTTGAGATTATGATTTTTTGAAAATATTAATTCATCCAAATATGAGAAGAATATGTTCATCGATTAAGTTTAATTTTGATAAATATCAAATAATAATTACATTAGTTACTGAAAATAATAAAGAAGACAATAATATGCGATTTTATTTGAAATAACATAAGAAATTAAAATTTTTATTAATAAATTGAGAAAATTAATAATAATATTTAAAAAATAAAAGTAATATACATAAACTTGTGAAACATGGATGTGCCTTAATCTAAATGTTGCCTTCAATTATGGAGAGGATTGACTCTTTTAAAACATTCAATCAGGATGCGTTAATTTTATAAATGACAATTGAACAAATTTTTACATTCTGTTTGAATAGTGGTATTTCGTGATTAATTAATATAAGGTATGATATTAAAATGATAAAATTTTATTTATTTTTTAATGTTATTGTTATTTGAGAGTGTTTTCGTGGTGTCCAAACTGCAAAATTTGGGACGAATTTTTAAATTTATCGATTCGGTGATTTTTTATGAACTCATATTTTTATTCTAATTATACTCTCATTAAATTTTATTAATTTCTCTTTTACCCCCCAAAAAACTCTCATTTCTTTTAATTATTTGAAACACCTCATTTTAAATATATTTTAAAAAATAACTCATAATAAAAAATTATTTGAAACACCTTTTAATTTTTTATTTTTTGAAATAATTTTAGATTTAATATAATAATATATAATTATATCTATTTATTTTTAATATATAAATAATTTTAATTTTATTAAAATAAACTTAATGTGATAATATAAATAATAATTATATATTATCAAATACAATAATTTAATGTGATAATGTGTAATACTTATTTATTTAAATACAAATTTAATTATATTTTTATATAATTTATTTTTTTATTACATTATTTTTATATACTATTTTTTTATTTAATATTACATACAATAAGATAGAGATAAATTGATAATTTGATTGAATATACAACCATATCATTCTGTCAACCCAAACAAAACAGTTGTCATTACCATACATTAATTAACAATCTTCCCAAACATGATATAACTTTATCATTATCATCCTCTGTCAGTATCATACATTACCGTACATTAATTACCTACAACAAAATTCATCCAAACAGAGCATTAAGCCATAAAACGATAAATATGAGTTTTTGAATATCAAATCTAAAAATAATTTTTTTAATATAAGTAAAGTTCAACACTTAAACACGATATTTTTCTTTAAAATTTTACTGAATAACTTGTTAGATATAAAACTAATAATACATTAAATATAATCAAATTAACATAATTTGTATTTATGAAATGTTTTGTGTAAAAGCCCAAAGCTTAGGGAAAATGAAATATTGAATTATATTAGTTATAGGCGAAAGCAATTAAGAATTTAGGGCTTATATTTCTTATTCAGTAAATCAGAATACCCAATAGGATTACATGAATATCCATTTATAGCAGTTTATAGTAATGGAATAAATGGTTAAAACAAAACGAAATAAAATCCTATGGAGTTAATCTCCGTCGGGCAACTCTAATGGGGTTCGAGAGGTGATCTTTATTCGCAACCCTCCTACTGTTTAGGATCTGAATCTTAGTTTTCTTGATATGAAATAGTTAAATATGGGAATGAACTACACTAACTCAGTAAGAATATCATACTTAACACTGATACGGAAAATCAAAAGTTGATAAAAATTATAAAACAACCAATAGAGCTATTATTTCTTTCAAATAAACTCATTTAACTTAAAAATTGTTATTTCATACTTAACTTTATAAGTTTTTCAAAACCGATCTATAAAGACAATACTCAAATAACATTGTGATTTCACATTCACATGAGGAATAACAACAACTTACTTTCTTACCTACTTAACGATATCATTGAGGGTCCATAGGGATCCCCCATACGCGTGGACCTAATATCCAAATTATCGATTAATCGGCCGTCTCTATATCCTGTCTAGTAATGGACGCCAAACATACCATCGCCTCAATACCCCGTCCGGTATGAGGGTAAATTATATCTCTCAACTCCTTCCGATATAGGACTTCTTAGCCCCGTTCGACTGAAACAATGTCGACGCTAGGATTTTTCCTATGTATCGAGTCCATACACCCTTTCCTATAGTACCCGATAAATCTTTCATACATTGATTCTCATCCTCAACCTATCACCAAATCACATACCAACAAACACATTTTTACCAATCAATAGTAAATCATGCAAATAGATAACACATAAATTAAGAAAACATGATTAGAATATTTATTTGTAAACAAATCAACATATGAGGACAATACAGGTAGATAAACTAAATAACCGAGAAAACAATTAAAATCAATAATTTAAAATACATAATATAACAATAAGCATTTTACGCAGTATAGAAGAAAATAAACAACTAGTTAGGACAATTATATACTAACCAATTCTGACTCTATTAATGATATGTAATTAATTTTTGAGGATTTTTTAATTTTCACAAAATATAACGTTATTGATTATTAAACTTCAATTTACCATCACGAAAAAAAAAAGTGAGAGATTCTTACCCCGAATCAATATCCGAAATACCGTACTTTTAACTGCGTCTCTTGGCGGTTCTTGAGTTTCCTGAATTTTCTATACGGAAATTAAAAATACTATTTACATATACAAAAATACCACAAAAAGCTAAAATAGGCATTTTAAATTTTTTTTTGGCCAATTTAGGGTTCTGATACGGCGACAGTTCCTCTCGTTCTGGCCATTTTTAACCGATTTAGGCCAGTTTTAGCCGATTTTACATGTAAACTTGCAAAAAACCAAGCTAGGGGGCTCTTGTTGGTCGAAAAAGGCAAAAACCGAATCCTATCGACGAAAGAGTCTCTGGGTGCAGTAGTTCTGCCGTTCTTCCTTCACGTCCAGAGTTCTCCTTCGGCTACTGCACCAAAAAATGA